GACCCCCTTTTGCCAGGCAGACCTTTGAGGTTTTGGCGGGGCTGCCTTCTAGCCTTTAGGAATAGGCAGAAGCAGTGGGGTGAGGAAGAGGAAGGCCCGGGCCTTCACCGAGCCTTTCTTGGGCCACAGGAGAGGCCAGCCGAGGAACCTCAGTGCCGTCCTCGGGCTAGCCCTTGGCTTCCGAAACTGAAGCTGGTAAATCGAAATTGATATGGCCAAGTGCTTCACAGGGTAGAAACTTCTGTTTGAAAAGTTTGGAATTACAAAACTCTAAGAAGTAATGCAGAAAGTGGCAAGTGTTGCTATTCAAATTGTTTATTTGTTTTTTAATACAAAATGCTAGGAATTGGCAGTGTTACAAATCTCTAGTGTTTCACGCTCAAAAAAAAAGAGCTTTATTAAGAGTTAAAACAGTTTTTCACTACAAGACTTTTAAAATTACTTTTTTTTTAACTCAATAGATCAAGTACTTCTGCATATCCATCGTCAGGGTTATCTGAGTAACAGGATTGCAGGCAGGACCACTCAGGATGTAACTAACTGAAGGAGCAGCTTTGACTGGTGATGGTATGCAAGTGGGAAAGAACTCAGAGTAGTTTCTCAGGCCGACAACTAGAAAAATAACAGTATTTCTAAGCAAAAACTTCTGAATCCCTAATAATGGTGAGATGAATTTTTTTCCAGGCTGGAATCACATACCCAAATGCATGCAGCCACAACAGATCTACAATACAATCGAAAAGAACAAGTGCAAGCCAAGAAGATGCCCAAACTGTATTTAATCAGAAATGGGCACATTGAAGATACTAGCTGCAAAGACTAGTCTAGAAGAAATCCTGAGTATTTACTCGGAGAACTAAGTCTTGTACAGTCTTTTCATTACTAGATATTGCTAAAAGCCAGCTTTGTTCTGTCTACATTATGATTGCTTTTATACTGCATTTTTGCCTCCTGGTTGCCGAAGATAAGCCTAGTGACAAACAGAGCAGTCCCCTTTCCTATGAAATCTGGAAGGCTTTAGGTTGTAAAAAAAAAATAAATCACTCATATTCAAACAGTTTGTGTTTTCAAAGAGATCATTATATTTTCATCTAGATTTAAAATGGGCAGAGTGTGTATTTCCATGGAAAAGTGGTACCTTAATGACCCAGTCTGCCATGTCAGCACTGGGGCTCTCACAGGACAAGTAGTTCAGCTTGGTCCTGTGGATAGCATGTGTATTACAAGCCCTTCAAGAGGGGAAGAGTGAACGAGGCTTTTGATTTCCTGGGAACAGGACTGCATTTCACTCATGGATGTTACTCAAATGGTTGAGTGAAGAGGTCAGGCAGTCTGTGAGAGGAACACAAACGCTTCCACCTTTTGTGTAAAGCAAATCTGAAATCAGTTAAACTGCTTTAATGTTTTTCATTCCCTAGCACTAAGGACTGGTCTGCTGAGGCATCAAACTAATGAGAGGTAGTTCTTTGTGTGCAAATGTAATAGTAACAAAAATTCCAAAATAATTTGATGCACTGCTTAGCCACAGAAGATGTTCAGTGCTGCATTGTTCAACCTGTGCTTGTCCTTAACGATAGGAACCATCTCTATTACCAAACAAGCAAACAGTATTATATTCTACTTGCTTGGTAAATTTATTTTTTTTTACCTCTGTTTACTGTTTCTGAAAGCTGATGCTGGCTGCCAGTGGAAGTATTATGGTAACAATTTTATCCTGTGGATAACTTAAATTTCATACAGCAGTCTGACAAGCAAATAGTATCCTTAAGTCATGGCTACTCCTAAGCAGTAAGGACTGGATTTGGGGCAGCAACCTGTACATGTGATCCTACTGCCAATCTCCTAAATGCATTAGTTCCCTGTGGGGTCGGGATGCCTTGTGGAATGAGAATTAAGCTTTCCGATTCTTCTTTGTTTTGTGAAAATTGAAGTGGTTTCATGATTTTAAAAAGAACTAACTCCACAGATCCTTCTGATTTGTTCATATGTAAGCCAGAATACCAGTGACCAAGGAGCCTGTGAAAGCAAACACTGAAGTTAGAGGTTTAAAACAGAAGTGACCCAGTAAATAAACCCTCTAGGTTAAACTGTCTCCTCTTAAGAATCATATTCTTAAGCTCAATCTCATATTATGTCTTTCGTACAAAAATCATAGCATTGCATATGGTTAGGGCTACCCAGTCATTCACAAGACACCTAAAACTTTTTTTTTCAGATTGCCAGCCCATAAATGTTTGACCTGAAATATTTCATCCTTGGGGACTACTTCAGGCTGAATGCTTTTTAAAAAAAATTTTAAAGGGTTTACTTGTTGTAAAACTTTAATCAGAAAATTACACGGTTCTCCTTGCATAAAATTTATATCCTGCACCCATTTAGTTGAGACGCTCTAATTTTTTTTTTTTGGCAATAGATTGGTGTTTGGCAAAAGGCTGCCCTGTGCCTAGGAAACACCTTTTCCTGCTCCTCTGAAACACCCACTAAACATCCCCAAAATTACAAGCCTTTGGGAAATTTAAGTTGGCATATGCTCCATGGAAATTTTTAGCTTAGTAGTAAACTGGCAAAGACCCCGTCAGTACTGAATGTGCTCCCGCTCAGGGACACGGGGACTGAGCAACTGAGCAGAACCTTCCTACAACTGTGACCACTGTTGTGCTCAGTTAAATTAGAGAAGGGAGGCTTTTGCCTTCGATCTTAGTGCTCAGTCTGGTAAATTAAACAGTGTCAAGACCTTGAAGCCAGCTGACAGAGTCTAGATGTAACCATACTGTTAAATTCTTGGAGATTTAAATTTAAAAAAAAAAAAGTCACATCTAAATTTGCTATTGGGAATTGTCCCTTGCCCAAACTAACAGTCTAGACAGCCAAGTTCCAGTTCCCAGCCTCCAGCTGCTGCTTGGCTTAATTGTACAGGTATAGCTTTAACGGCCCAGCAGTATGCAGGAGACAGCCGCTAGCCTGAATACAAGAGGGGCAAAAGTGAGATCCGGGATGGAGCAGTAATAAAGCAATTCTGAGATCAGGAGAGGAGGAAGGAAAGTAAGAGGGATGCAAAGGGAGTCCAGGGCTGGGAGCAAGAAGGGAACAAAGGAGAGTTTAGGAAGGGAGAAAGGAGGGAGCCTGCAATTGTAAAAAAAGCAAGGAAAATCACTAAGCAGGACAGCATTTTCCAAGTTGAAGAGATGCAGGAGGCAAGGTGGGGGAAGTGACACTGCATGCAATTGTGTACTACATTCAACTATGCTAACTGCAATTAAATAAATTGAGACACCCAAATAGTTTTGGAAAATTGTTGACACAGAGAGAACTCCTTACATTTTAATGCTACATTGTTCAACTGTCTTGTAAAGAGAGTTAAAAAGCACTTACCATTCGCATCCAGGTTGGTATAAAGCCTTTGTATAGAGACATAAACCCTTCACCCTGTACAGTTTGAATCAAGCAGTCCGTGGAAGACTTATACAGCAGACCTCTGCCAGTGTGCAAGGAGAACAAATACTGTTAGGATTACAAATACACAATTTAAAAAAACCAAACCACACACCCCCGAAAAATAATGAGGTGAATTTGTACAAGCAAGAGCTCTTGTAAGCTCACTGGAGTCTCATCAGAACTGAAATCCACTAAGTAACTGGGTATGCTTGGGTGGTCATCACAACAAACCTCCCTGGACATGCAAAACTAAAACAATGAAATTAACATCAGAAAGATAAAGAGCAAATTAGAGACTTAGCACTTCACTCCCAGTGAAATCAGTGAGACTCAGAGTTTCAATTCTCTACTGAGAAGTTGGTCTCTGAAGTGTCTGTACCTTCCCTGCTTATCTCTCGGCTGGTTCATTATCCGGGTTTTGACCACGTCAGCAGGAGTTCCCAGAACAGCAGCTACCAGGCCAGAACAGCAACTGTCAGCAGCAACAGATACTTAAAGAAGAAACTAAGATTGATCATGACAATTTAAGCATCATGGTTCCAGTTATATATAATACATTAAAACAGTTATCATAAAGTCATGACTAATACCTCATAACTTAACATAAACTTGATTTGGGAGGAGGCTTGCTGGTATTGCTCTTGCTCAGATGTCCTCCCAGCACCAGCTTCCCTCACCTCTGTGTGCAGTTCTGAGGCAGGGATAAAGGACCCACAATAGGAAATTTATGATACTGTTTACATAAAGCAGATTTCATCATAATTTGAAGCAGTAATAGAGGTTGTTCTGCAGAGTTTATATTGCTCATTCCTACGGTTTACTAAAATTAAAACTAGGTTAGATAAAATAGTACCAATTCTAGAAAACCGAAAATTCCTGTGCTCTCACAGATGTGTGAGGTGTTTAAATGCATCAGCAAGGCACTTCTAGTGCGGGCAGTTTTGTAGCAATGGTTGCATCCTTTGTCTTGTGTCTTTTGTACAAAGATGTCCTCTCAGGCAAAAAAAAAAAAAGTAGTTATAAAGGTGCATTTTATCAGCAGTATCATGACCAAAGAATAGGGGCTTCTGCTGGCACAGAGAGGCAGATCAAGACAGTGAGGCTGGAAATGCTCCGCAGCGGAAAAGGGGTAATTGCAGAATACGGCACCTGGCAACACTGTGAGTCACACTATTGTCCACAAGTGGCGTGTTCAGGAGCAAAAAGTGTTTCACCGAGTCGTAAGTGGTCAGATCTGTAAAGAGGATAATGAGAAAAAACAGCATTGTCAGAAGTAAATGTCGTCTGTGCTGTTCATCACTGACAGGATGGAGGCTTGGCAAGACCTAAATTTCCAGTGCAGCTCCTCCCATTGGCAGAGCTAGCACTCTGCCCCCAGTTTCTGATGGCAGTTGTGGCACCTAGGTCCAGTTGTTAGACTTGTGAGTATGTGCTCCCTTCTGCTACCGTCTCCTCTGATTTACCCTACGAATGATAAAATGGATCCCAAATGGAAAATTCTGCAAAATAACTCATTAACCAAACCCAGAAACATCACAATAAGGATGGTTCTACCTCTCCCGCTTCTGTGCAAGTGTTATAAAAATGTTAGAAATGTTAGACAAAAAAAGTAGATGATGTTATGGAAGTTATGTTCTTCGGAAAGCAGACATGAGTTACAGCATCTGTGCATCTGAATAAAAGCAGTGATCTGAAAGTTAATAGCAAATCTGGGTTACATTTCCAATGTCCTGACCTTAAAACTTAAGAGCTCAGCCTGCTAACCAGGATGACCCTTCCAGCACTTTATAGTGCTTTACAGCCCAAACATATCCAGTGCAGATGATCCACCACTTGTAAAATAGTTTGCTTCTTTAAGTTTACATGCAGAGACTGCACGTTAACATTTTGTATGGAGATACATACCTTAGTTAATAGTCATTCTATAGCCCTTATTTAACAGCTCCTGCTGCAAACATTATCCATCCAGTGATTCCTTTACTGCTGCTTAGCAAGGTGTAAGCTTACACCACCTCTGATTTTCTATCTTCCAAGGTATTTTTTGGTCATGCTGCTAACATATCCCTGTGCTGAATGACGTAGAAATTAGTAACCATCATGCCAAAGAAATTGAAACATGCAAAATAAAAAATTGCCAAGGCAGTGTTATAATATGTGCCACCAAGCACAGAGCAAGTGTTTATGGTGGGCACCCACGGGCAATGTCTTTTGGTCCCAAAGACATCTCCCTCCTTACTTTATAAAGGAAGCAACTTTATAATGTCGAGCAACTGATGTCATCTACCTCGACTTGTGTAAAGCGTTTGACACTGTCCTGCATGACATCCTTGTCTCTAAATGGAAGAGACATGGACTTGACGGACAGACCACTCAGTGGATAAGGAATTGGCTGGATGGTCACACTCATCATAGAATCATAGAATGGTTTGAGTCGGAAGGGACCTAAAGATCATCCCATGGGCAGGGACACTAGACATTAAACAGCACCGGTCCCAATACCAACCCCTGAGGAATGCCACTCATCACTGCTCTCCTCTTGGACATCAAGCCGTTGACCGCAACTCTTTGCCCCATCCCTGGAAGTGTTCAAAGCCAGGTTGGCTGGGGCTTTGAGCATCCCGGTCTAGTGCAAGGGGTGATTCTGTGATATGATTCTATGATAAACAGAACCTCAGGAAGGAGAGCAAAGACTGTTCAACATATCCCAGCAGTTTTGGAGAGGCACAGGAAAGCTCCATCTGTATGTGGATGGACTGAGTGCTTGGATCAGCCAACCGCTCGGGCAGCCACTTCAACTTACAGCCCTCAGTCCCTGCCTGAACTATACTGTAGGTGCACCAGTCTGTGGCTCCATCACACCATGCATGGGCTGTGGACCTTGTTGATCTGGACACTGACCGATGGACCATCTCCCTAGCTCAGCCTTGGACCTTTCTTATCACCACAGACCTGCTGGTGGTCACTGAGCTGTGTCTGACCCTGGTGACCCTCACCAGTCATGCTGGCTCAGCCTCCTGGCTTGGCCTCAGACCTGCCTCATCATCACACGCTTTCCTGAGGATCTGGATCTCGGTGGAACCTGGCTGCCTTCACTGGCTCTGCCCTGCTCACCTTGATCGGGCACCAGGGAGCTGGGTCATGGCTGGTGAGGTCCCTGCTCTGCTGGCCATGGGACCCCCTCAGCTCCCAGCTCACCATCCCTCAGGCACAAAGTGTTACTTTTAAGCAACTTGATTTCCACAGGAACAAAATGCTCAAGGTGGCAGTCACCTGCAGTACACTTCAAACAGATGCCCAGTGTAGATAACCAAGAGATGAAGACCAGGGGAGTAGCTGACCTCTCCTTTCTTAAAGCTTAGATGCAGCCTTAAGCGCTGGAGACCCAAATTATGAAATTTACCTCCCATGTTCACCAGGGCAGCTCTCTGGACATTTGGCACCCATCCAGCCCAAAGCCCCCGTATTCCTCCTTCAGACAGGATCTTCATGAACGCGTGGTGCACTCCTCGAAACCTGAAATCAATACGCAACTAGTAGGTAGAGAGCCCAGCTATGGAGAAATCTTTGCATATTCCAGTGTTTCGCTGCACCAGGTCCTCACATAGGAAAGGTGATTTATACCTGCAAGGATCTGGCCCTCCAGATCCATTTTTTGATCCATTTTTTGATCCATTTTTGGATCCATCTTTCACTTTCATGCCACAATATTTTACCAAACATAACGGTTGCCGTGGTAAGCAGCAATCTGGTTGCTAATGACAGACGACCCTTTGATCTCACAGCTGGGTTGCAATGCTAAATGTACGAGATGCAAAAGGATGCCAGCAGTTTCGGATGCAAAGAGCAGTGTGTCCTGGTATCTGCAGGAGGGTCTCTAGCCCTGCTGTCTGGAGGTGACCCAGCCCTTCCCTGCGCCTGGGCATCCTGCACGAGCTATTTCCCCCATCTTTTCTTCCAGCTTCCCTTCTTCAGAAATCATCCTTCCCTCCCCCAGCAGAGTGCTGGCACAGACATGCTGTACATGTGGGATGTGTGAGGGTTTGTGGTCTCTGGGACCAATACATCAGTGTTTTGGGTTTGTGTGGTGGGGGTTTGGTAGCAGGGGAGGGGGCTACAGAGGTGGCTTCTGTGAGAAGCTGCCAGAAGCTCCCTCAGCTCCAAGTCGGACCCACCACTGGCCAAGGCCAAGCCTCTCAGTGATGGTGGTAGCACCTCTGGGAGAACAGATTTAAGAAGGGGAACCTGCAGTGAGTGGGGGGATTGGAATGTGAGAGGAACCCCTCTGCAGATACCGAGGTCAGTGAAGAAAAAGGGGAGGAGGAGCAGGGGAAGAGGGGATGCCCCTGCAGCCCACGGTGAGGCAGCAGGCTGTCCCCCCCAGCCATGGAGGGGAGCGGGGGAGCAGATGCCCACCTGCAGCCCGGGGATAGAGGAGCCCATGCCGAAGCAGGGGGAGGGATGCCCCCCAGGATGGCCAGGACTCCATGGGGAAGCCCGCGCTGGAGCAGGCTGTGACTGAAGGACTGCAGCCCGCGGGAGGGACCCACAGTGGAGCAGGGGAGGAGTGAGGAGTCCTCCCCCTGAGGAGAAAGGAGCGGCAGAGACAACGTGTGAGGAACTGACCCCAAACCCCATTCCCCGTCCCCCTGCGCTGCTGGAGGGAAGGAGGTAGAGAAAACCTGGAGTAAAGTTAAGCCCGGGAGAAGGGAGGGGTGGGGGGAAAGTGTTTTTAAGATTTGGGTTTACTTCTCATTATCCTTGTTTTGATTTGATTGTTAGTAAATCAAATTGATTTTGGTTTTTCCCCAAGTTGAGTCTGTCTTTTGCCCGTGACCATAAGTGGTGAGTGATCCCTCCCTGTCCTTGTCTGAACCCACGAGCTTCTCTTTATATTTTCTCCTCCTCATCCCACCAGGGGCTGGGGGGCGGGAGGAGTGAGTGAGCGGCTTTGTGGTGCTTTGTTACTGGTTGGGCTTAAACCACGACAATCAGAATAAGGAAGGTGAGTATAAATGGAATAAGGAGGAAGTCTCGGATCCCCCACCCTCTCCGCTGCCCAGAGCCGTTGCATGCCTCTCAGGCACTGCTCTACCCCCAAAAGGGCTCCCAGCAGCTCGGGAGAGAGGGTTGCAGAAAACAGAGGGAACCACATCCTTGGCCAAACAGTAATCATTAACAGGAAAAAACCACCAGCTTCAAGAGGAACTGACCGTAACGGCTTTCCTTCCAACTTCCTTTTTCCTTCCATCTGCATCTGCACCTTCACCAGATCAGTTGGGCTGGCGAAAAACTGTCCGATGGCGCCCGCAGACATCCCTCCGACTACAGCTTTCCTGCCAAACAGGGAGAAAAAATGTGCTCCAGAGTACAGTGAAAATCTTCACAAATTGCAGTGCCTGAGCTGAAGAGTTCAGCAGCACAACCCAGGTGAAACAAGTATAAATTATTATTCCTTATACTAACAGCCAAAGTTAAGGTAATAATTGTGGCAACTGCAGGTAGTTAAGGTAGTCAGTAATACTTCTGTCAATTTTAAGAAAGGGTTAAAACTTATCTGGGAAAAAAAATCAAGTTATTATATGTCACCAAGATGCTCTGCTTTGTCTCCAGGTTACATTATGCTCCTCGCTTGAGGTTTAAAGGCAGGATGGCAAGGTACACAAGTAAGGGATGGTGCTACTGAATGCCAGTCAGAAATTCTAAACTGCTTGCTGATATATAAAACTTTTCTTTATCTCCCATCGCTACTAGATGAGTTGTGTTAATATTCTGGTTCTACTTATTTTAGAAGAACCAGAAATTTCAGTATTATCCATAGTTCCCCCTACCCATAGCACCAGGCATGACAAGTATTTTGTATTAGGTTTTATAAATCCCATCCTAAAACCGGTTACATTTTGGACCCAAGATTTGATTTTGGAGTAAAATACTTGATTGGATGTGATAAAGTGTATGATTATAAAGGTACGTGACCGACATTTTAACAGTAAAGATTTGACAATTAGAAATAACCAAGTTTTGCAAAACTTCTATAAAAATCTGCTCATTCCCCACAGGCAGAGACTTAATTCTGTGGCTGTATGCCGCTTGCATTGTCAAAAAAGAGACTGAGTGAGATTTAACTGTTGCTAAATTAAACTTGCAAAACAAAGACTTTGGGTTTGCTTTTTATGGGGATCATTTGTCTCCTCAGGAAGGATGCACAGATTTAACTTAGGCTGACATCTGTCATACACACATGAACAAAACAGCTTTTTTTCCTTCATGATCTGCCTCTTCAGTAGCCAGGAAATTTCCTTCTCTCGGGCTAAGATACACCACCAGAATTAGCAAACATTCCTATTCCCCTTGCTTATAATCCAATGGCATAATAACTTCTTACCCAGGCAGTATGACAAGCAGCAAACCAGGCAAGCGTTGCTATACTGCTGCTGCACAACACCTAGCAGCACCCATCCCTTCAGCAGCTGGAAATCTGAGATGTACCACCCCTCACTTCTTTTCTGCAGAGCTCCAGAGGATATTTGAGATGTCCATCATACCTTTGGAAATGTATCCTCACCCCATGTGGATAATCAAGCTCTCGGGTGACCTCGTAGCTGAGCAGGGCGCAAGCTGCAAGTCCAGCTTGGCTCAGCTGAACCTCTGTTTTGCATTATCCAGGCAGCTGTAGGATTAGTCACGGTTACTCGTGCCGGTGTCAGGTTTGTGCAATAGCTCACAGCTTCTCCAGCAGCCATTACACGCAGCTGTACAGCTGGCCACAACTCACCTGCACTTCGCAATATCCCCTGGCCCACGCAGAAATAAAAGAGCTGCCACTACATCGCAGACCTTGAGTCACAGTAAAGCTGCCCTGCCTCCACTCTCATCCAGGCTAATCCCTGCCAGCCCAGGACAGCTGCTCCTATCCATGCAGTTTATCACGTTTCTCCATCTCTTTAGCAGAGTATCTTTATTGGTCCTAGTTAAGCCCCTGAGACACTTATTACAATATTTCTTAGTCCTCTTCACAGCTGAATGAAAAGATACTGCCCTGAAACTAAAATCAGAAAGTCCGTGTCAGTGCTTAAACCCCTGCTTTATATTTACCCTCTTTAGGATAGGCGAGCCATGAGGAAAAGACAGCTTTTAGGGCTGCAGGATTCCTACAGTAAGGACAATCCCCAAACAGGCAAAAGCATAAATATGCAACATTACCAGAAAGGAAAGCTTTCATCCTCAGACCTGCCAAGCACGGAGTCACGGAGATGTTCATACACAACCATGCGAACGCCAGAGTACACTGTGGAAAACAAAAGCAGGAGACAATTCTTGGGTCTGCCATTTCTGGAGGTCATGCTGTGATAGAAAGGCCAAGAGATTGGTTATAAAACGCTCCAGAGCTTGCCTGGGTCAGCTCGTCACTGCTCTCGCATTCACCATCAAAATGGGGAAAGCGAGGGGGCTGCCTGGTAGCAATGCTAGAGCCAGAACTTTTTAGCATCAGAGAATCTCTCTGGCTGAGCCATGAGAGATAAGCCATGAGCATGGCTTATGCCTGCACACTAAAGATACACAACAACATTGCTTCCCTCTTAACCGGTGCCAAGCACAAAACCTCCTACAAGTGCTTTTGAGGTTTGTTGCTGTGACCATATTTCCGAATAAAACATAGAAAGCTGTTACCTGTGGCCAAACCACTAATGTGTTTCTTCATCCTAGTGCTTGCAACCTTATCTTTTTTTCCCAGCTCATCCCCACTTCCCTCAAATAACAGATATTTATTGTTCTGAGGACTCTGAGTGCCTGCTTGAGCTGAAGACCTTCCTGCAAAGACGGCAGGGAAATTATATTTTGTTTTCCCAGAAGCCAGAATAAGGCTGTGAAGGAACAGGCAAGAGAGGGAAGAGACGACATTGAGCCAGAATCCCATATATTTTGAAGTGGGGTTGCAGGGTAGACTGAAGAAGTCCTCACAGATATATTTAAAGTACAAGCAGATAAGGCAAGCTCACTCCAACAGGCTGTTGGCCACAGAAGGCAGGACCCAAACTTGTCCCACCATGAGCAGATAGTCACCTATGTGGCGGTAGACGGCTGGTGTGGCTCCTTGCCAGAGCTTTCGTACGCCCTCCTCTTGCACAATGCCAGCCGCGGTGCGTAGCATCCCGCGGTAAGCGACCGCCTGGCCGGCGGCAGCCGCTCCATTGCGATGAACGGCAGCTTCACCTTGGACCTGCAGTCGAGTTTTCGTGAGATCCAGGGGAAACGTCACTGAAGGGAAAGAGCAGGGAACAAATGTGAACGCAAGTGCAGCTGTGGGGAAACCTACCACGCTGCTGCCGTTCGTGCCACAGTCCCCCCTGCCAGGCAGCCAAGGGGTCTGTGTAAGCACCAGCAGGGACTATACCCAACGAGTGTGCAGGTGATTCATGGAGAACAGGAGATGCACGTCCAGATCTCTTAAAAGTGGCTCTGGGCATGGGTAACCAAAATACATCCTTGTGAAACACCAAGTCTTTCTCCCTTATTTCCTTTTGCAGATTTGTTATACAATACGTGTACTTTCCAAGAGACTCTGGATTAAAAATCCTGTTCCAGTTACTCTCACAGAATAAAGATCAGTCACATCTCTTATCGAGCGTGTGGCCTCTCCAATTCTGCCCAGCATAGTGGCAGCACACGTTACAGCAAGAACAACCCCACAGTGGCTGTCGTAACGCAGACACACATGCAGGTGAGCATCTATCCTACAAACCACCCTAAACCATGCTGCTTTTCTGATGCAGACACAAAAATTATGTTTAGCCTGCTATTTCTCTTACTGAAATAATTGGTGGCTAGGGAAGGTGGTCCAACTCGATCTCAGCTTCCCAGGGCTGCTCCTGAAACTGTGTGGATACATATCTGCTGCCCCTAATTTCAGTTCCAGGCCAAGAGCGTCTCACTGGGTGATGGACCTTCCCAGGCGGTGAGTGCCCAGGAGCAGGGGTTGTGTTTGGTTCAATACCTCTGCGACACACCATGCTACATGGTCATTCCAGAGCAGGACTCAGAGATACTAGGGGAATGCAGTCACCGCTCAAAGCCTCAGCAGATTTACGGTCTATTTGTGCATTAAGTTTGGTATTCATGTTTAAAGAATAGCAAAGATTGGGAAGTTGCAAATTATTAGAGCAATGCAACAGACATGCCTGTAAGAAGAGCTTGTAGAAATTATATAGGATATGCTAAGAAATTCCAAATCAGTTACTGATCACAAAGTAGTACTACGCAGATGCTGGGGTGCTTCTTTCCATGCATTTCAGCAAGCAGTTTACTACACTCCATTTTTACAGACATCTCCACTGTAACCAGCAATGTAAGGTTCAATTTTTCTTTGATTAATCTGCATTAACGTTGAAAAGCAAATTCCTGAAGAAGTCAGCCCCTTGCTACTAACTTAGGCAACAGATTGTCCTGCCTCCTCAGTCTTCTTCCAGAAACCCAGCAAGCACAAAGCTTAATTTAGTCACAACTGCTCTGTGTTAATGACTGCAGCCCTTCGGTCTCAGAGACGGAGATTTCAACCTGAAAAACCCCTCCCTCCAGCCACAGTCAGGCAGCATAAAACGCTTGCAAGGGTTAAATTATTGAAAAGTCACAACAAGCAGAGTGGAACGAACAGATTTGCTGGAGCAGAAAAGCCAGAGCGAACACTGAGGAATGCGGCGTCTGGTGACTGAAGTTCCCCCTGCCCCCCATAAGTAAATTTTGACCCCCTTCCCTCTCAGAAAATCAGGGTGAGTTGTACCTAGTTCTGCCACAGCCGCTGCACAGGCGGACAGAGCGAATTTGCTGGCTCGGGGCCATCTCTCCGAAAGAGGTAAGCTCTTCTCTTCTTCCGCGGGTGACATCCAGCGTCTAACATGAAACAAGGTTAACCAGCCACCTTGCGAGGAAGGTCTGGAGCAAAAGCAGACCCTAGCTCAGCTCTGTTCTGGGTCGTTTAGGAGGCAAATTGCTGAAGGTCATGTTTCTCCAGTGCCAGCACCAGGAGCCGCAGCAGCCCAAGTGCCTCCTGCAGAGCTGCGAGGTCCTTGTGCAGTGACACAAGAGACTCCTGCGTAACAGGCTCCTGGGAAATGTAGTCTGTCACCACCTCTGCCGGCGAGCCAGCAGTGCAGGTACAGTCACACATGCAATTTTGCCCATTATCTATGTTAAAAAAAAAAAAAAAAAAAAAGATTAATGAGACCTCAAGGTTATGAGAACACGTGTGGTGTCTGTTTGCTTTATGGGGTGCTGGCACTGACAGGGGAGCCCCAAACTGCGTCCCCACATCAAACAGCTGCACACGCATCCGAGATGGATGAATCAATGCAGATCTGGTTTAACGAAAGCTGCATTAGTGAGAGCTACATGCCGAGCTGCAGTGCTTGCAGCAATTCACGTCTCCTGGGGATTAGGCCAGAGCAGTGCACCTTGAGCAAGGGGCACGGAAACCTGGGAAGACAGAAGCCAATCTCTGCCCAAAGCCCTGTATGTGAAAAGTTTAAAGCTTTTCCTGGCTGATTGCTGAAGCCCTGTTAATTGCGTGCCAGTCCTAATTTTTCTTAAATTACTGTAGGCATATTTAGGTTCTCATCACGTAAAAAAGGGTAAGGCATGCACTGTTCGAGAGAAGCTTTTCATTTATCATTAAGGCTCAGCTGAATCACTAAGTTAATCATTAGCCATTAATCACTAACCCTCATGCTGAGGATTTGAGGGTTTTTTAGGTCACAGAAACTTATCCCAGAACACCTCCGCACACTCCTGTCTGACTGCCTAACATTTTGGTGTGCAGTCCCGGTCACGATGATTCAGACAAATGAAGGGCACAACGCAGGTGAAATATTCAGCTAAAGTCAGATGAATTTATCTCATCAGTCACCAGTAATCAGTATTAAATTGGATCCTTCTTTGGGTTAGAATGCATTAGAATTCATGCAGCGATAAAACAAACTACCAACAAACCCCTGATTAAAATGGGAAGAAGGCACATTGCTATTTAATGCAAACCTGCCTGGTTGCAGTGAGGGTACGAGTGGTTCAGAGCCTTATTCTAGACGGTTTATGCAATCTGCTGTTGGCACTTTTGTGCCTCCCTCCATAGCTATTCTCTGGGCTTGGGTCAGCTTGTACCACTATCAGCCTGTATATTATTGATTCATAACTTAGGTTGGAGAGGACCTCTAGGGGTCATCTAGTACAATCCTCTGCTCAGAGCAGGGATAGCTTCAGAGTTACATCAGGTCACCCAGGGTCTTGGTTTGGTCACCTTCTGAAAACCTCCAAGGATGGGGATTTCACAACTGCAGCCTGCTCTGGTGCTTAACCGCTTTGTGAACATTTTTTCCTTATATTTGGTCAGAATTTCCCACATTGCATCTTATGTCCGTTGCCTCTCATCCCTTAGATGTACACCTCTGGGGACAGTCTCACTCTGTCTTCTCTATAACCATGCTTTAGGGGGTGGAAAACAACAACTAGATCCCTCCTGAAAATAAACCCCATAACACTGCGGCATCCTATGGAGAGAGCAGCTCCGTGGTCATTTTTAGTTGGGGGAAATAAGTTCTTTATTAAACCAGACTGATTTGAGGATGGCAGTGAGGAAGAATTTTCTCTTCCCACAGGATCTTTGAAATGACCCTGACCTGGAGACGGACGCTTGTGTGGACAGCTCTGTCATTTGTGGAGCAGAGAAGGGCTAGTGCTCACGGGGGTCAATCAAACAGCTGGAGTTTATATATCCCCGGATCCTGAGGGACACAGCTCCAGCAGAGAGGACCCTTCCTATTTATTTATTTCAGTTTTCAGTGAGACAGCATTTTCTGGTTTCTGTCCAAAGCCAGTTTGATCAAAGGCTGCATATGCAGGGAGGGAGTGTGGACTTCAGATGCGGTGGAAACACAGCAGCAAGGGTCTGGGAGGGCTGTGTGCTGCCAGAGAGAGGCAGCCAAACTGCCCCGGTCCTCTCACCTGCTTTCCTCAGTGGTGACTGTGTTAGTTTACATTGGAAAGACCATTAACTGTTATCTGCCCAGGACTAGGACCTAGTCTGAGGAAAGACTATCACACCATCATACTGATTGTGTCCTCCTCCCAATAGTGCCTTTCAGTAGTGTCTTGTGTCCTTCACCAAATTGTGCCCCAGAAGCAGAAGCTAAACAAACAAACAAAAAATGTCCAAACCAAACACAAAAGGCCTTCCTCACAGAGGCTTAAGGGCTTGTCGTACCCGTATACATAGATCACGTTAAACTCACTAATCAGGCTGTGTGTGTAATGAAAGTATACTCCAATATTACAAGGCCTTTAGCTCTCTTATCACTTTAACCCTTTGTAGGAAAAGAAAGAATTTAATGGGTAGAATAAAACCAGGAAATACACATACAAATGGCTGTGATAGCTAAACACAGAAGTGTAGTAATATCACAGTTAAAAGTGATTTCTCTGTTTCTTCCAGACAGTTTGTGAAATGGAGATCCACATCCTACTTGTCACAGTTCACACATTTGGGCTTCTGCACCTATGACCAGCATAGATAACATCCCAATGTATTTCAGCATGACTGTTTAATGAAGGCCACAGAACTGTTTTTCACAGCTCTTAACCTCCTACCATCAGGTGTGTTTCTGCTGTGCTACTTTTACTGTACTGTCTGTTCACAGGTACAAAGGTTCCTGTCTGTGCAGCTATTCCTGTATAGGAAGGGAGACACTTTTAATAGAATAATCATGTTTGTACAAACTGATGTACAAATTGTGCACCATACAAACAGTGTGGTGTTCCCATGCTACGGTCTTACAAAATATAGTAGCAAAGAACTATAACCTTCTCCTAGTAAAACACATAAAGCTAGTGAGTGGGTAAGGCTTCTGGGTTAGTACTTATTGACATTTTATAAAAATATACATGAGGACAAGTTCAAGCACAGTTCAGGTCTATCTCTTACTCAGGCACCAGCGTGGTTTTATTCTGGTGAGATCTGGGAGCACAGGTACAAAGAGAATGGGAGAGAACTAGGTAGGGTTCAGGAGGAAGGACATGGGGAAACAGTTTTGGGGGCAGAGCCAGAGAGGCTGAGACTGATGAAAAAGGAAACACAGGTGTGAAGGTGGTATTTGAGTAAAGGGAGACATGTAAGATGTGATGTACAGCTGGATGCTTGTCTATGGAGCAAACAGATGAAGAGCTAGAAAGGCTGAGCAGGGCTTGTTCAACCAAGGAATCTGGGCCTGAGGATCAGGTCCTGGGCACTTAGCAGAAGAAGACATTTGGACAAAGAGCCAGAGCAAAAGAAGACAAAATCACAAAAAAACCCCAGCTGAGGCTGGAAGGGACCTGGAGACTGGCTAGTCCAATACCCTGCTCAAAGCAGGGTCACCTAGAGCAGGCTCTCAGGGCTGTGTCCAGCTGGGTTCTGAATGTCTCCCAGGACTCCCCAGCCTCTCCATGCAACCTGTTCCACTGTCTGACCACCATCATGATAAAAAAATAATTTGAAGTGGAATTTTCTGTATTTGTTTGTGCCCACTGCCTCTTGCTCTTTCACTGGGCACCACTGAAAAGAGCCTGGCTCCATCCTCTTTGCACCTTGCCTTCAGGTGTTCATACACACAGCTAAGATCTCCTGAACCTTCTCTTCTCCAAGCTGAACAGTCCCAGGTCTCTCAGCCTTTCTTCATAAGAGAGATGCTCCAGCCCATTTATGAACTTCTTGGCACTTCACTGGCTCACTCCAGTCTGTCCATGCCTCTGTTGCACTGGGAAGCCTACAACCGGACTCAGCACTCTGGATGGATCTCTCCAGCACTGAGCAGATGAGGAGGATCACCTCCCTTGTCCTGCTGGTCACACTCTTCCTAATGCAGCCCAGGGTGCTAGTGAGTGCAAAGGCACGTTTCTGACTCGTGTTCAACATGGTGTCCACCAAGACCCCCAGATCTGCAAAGCTGCTTTCCCCCCAGGTGGCCCCCAGTCTGTACTGGTACATGGGGTTCTTCCTACCCAGGGGGAGGACTTGGCAGTTTCCTTTGCTGAACTTCATGATGTCACTTTTTTGCCAAGGAAGATTGGACCAGATGATCCTTAAGGTCCCTTCCAGCCTGGTATTCTATGATAAGTCCCTGTTTGCCCATTTCTCCAGCCTGTCGAGGTTCCTTTGAATGGCAGCACACCCATCTGGTCTATCAACTACTCCTTCTGGTTTTGCATTGTCTTCAGAGTTGCTGAGGGTGTGCAGGGGTAGGCTGTGAGAGCACTTCCTAGGTTTTTTTATACTTAATGAATTCTGTACATATTTTTGGTGTGCCACTTCACTCATGCAAAGAAACCAATCTGACCTCTCTGAAATCTTGTCTTCTGACATTGCAGTGATATTATAGGGGCCACCAGCAGGTTTTGAATTGTCAGTGCAACCTCCGAAGCCTTTCTCTGCTCCTCAGACACTGGACACACATCTAGCCTTTAACGAGATGATCTCAGACAGGTGAGAGATACCTTTCACAAGGCTTACTGCTTCAGGTGATGCCTGCAGAATTTTCTTGCCATCTGCCTTGCTGAAAGCTGTATGTCTGCAAATCACAGCCTCTCTGCTTTATAATCTTGATATTGCCAAAAAATAATTTTTTTAATTGAAGAAAGCGATGCACTACTTTGCCACGGTGTGCCTGGCTGCATCCCTGGCTGCTTGGGTAGCCTTCCAGCAGCTGGTGCAAAGTTCAAGGATTTGTCACAGCAACATCTAAGTTTTGCAAGCAGTGGAGTTGGCACTCACAGAGCAGAGGAGGGTTGGCTCTGCTTTTTCCAAAACAAGGGCTTGCCCCCCGGACTGCTTGGTGCTTTGACAGCTTGTCTCCTTGGCAGTGATCAGCTGGCAGGACTGATAGAGGAGGCCGTATTCATTGACTTGGGTAATCCAGGCCAGCACAGCCGTGCTGGGTGCTGTGTCAGGCGGAGCAGCCGCTGCGGCAGGCAGCGAAGAGGCAAAATGGCTCTTGCTTTCCTCTTGGCAGCAGTCCTGGGACTTCTTATTGTCAAGGCTGTTTTGTTTCAGCTGAGAAACCCGAGCTCCCCTCCTTGCATCAGGAGCTGGATCCCTTGGTTTGGAGCTGCGTTTCAGTTCGGGAAGGCTCCTCTGGAGTTTATAGAGCAAGCTAGAAGCAAGGTAATGGCTGTGGTGGCATGCCTGCTCGTGGGTGAGTGCTCAGGCTGGCTGCCTGCAAGGGGAAAAGTGAGGGGAAACTTCGGCATTAAGTTTGCCCCTTTCCTGTCGCATTTTGTGACATCAGGAGCATTTAGCTGGTGAAGGATTGGCTTTGTACCAGTAATGGTGCTAAGCTGTGGATCTGATCCAGGCATGATCTCTGTGCTGTGATCATCCTGTCTGGACCCAGCACCTCTGCTGTTTTGCTTTTGCAGTCTGGCTACGTGTTAATCTTGGTTTCAGATAATGTGGAAAGCCCTGTGCCAGGTGCTGGGACCAGGAGACTAATTATTTGGATGCCTAAAGTTAGGTGAGATTTCCGAGTACCAGCTAGTGTCCCTCAACATTCGAGAGACACAGGCATGCTTGGCAGGCAACTTTTTCCATCCTGAAAAACTTACCAAAGAAAGATGGGTGTGAGGATTTACCCCCTGGACACGCCTTCCTTTCTTTATGTCTTGTCTGGTAGATAGAGCCGACATGATTAATTGAGATTAGATGTTTAATTTCTAGGCAGCTAATACAAACTAGCATAAACCCCACTTTCCTGTTTTCATTCAGTGATGATATCACCTGCTACTGATGCAATATATTCAGCTTCAAGTGTTCAATACTGAAGGATTGCACAGTCCACTACTTGCAAAAACTAGCTAAAAATGAAACCAGTCAGTCTTATCAGTGGAGTCTAAGGGCAGTTCAGCTCAGTTTCAAAAACAGAGGTATGCAGTAGCTGGTCAGATGAATCGGTTTTTAGGCTCCCCTGACTGCATAGACTCGATCTCTATTGTCTATAATGGGAGCTTAGGCATCTTGCTCACATGTAATCATCTAAAATAAAGTGTTCCAATCTTTAATTGAATGTGACCTTAATTGAATAATTACGTGTTATTGCAGGTTGCTATTAGTCCAAATTTAATTTTATTTTTAAATTGGTTTAAGCACATTGTAATGTTAATTTAAAATTTAAAAAATCTAATTTAAAAACAAACACAGTACAAATTCACTGATTTTTATCCAGCCTGATGATGAGGACATGCTGTTATCCATAAAAAAGCAACCTTAGCAATTCAGCTGTATTAAAACAATATTTTATTTATTATCACCCAGAGAGTTTAAGCCGTAATTCTTTCTTTAATAATTTACAGTTGAAGGACACAATCAAAATTCAATTGATGTCAAGAGGAATCTTTTCCTCGGCTTGAAAGAGCTTTTGATGAAGCAGGCTTTACAATACAGACCCAGACAACAAAAGAAATGGTTAAAGTCAATGGCATAAACCATGTGAGCAAGGTGGATTCAAGGCTTTTCAAAATTCCAAACAGATCAACAGAAAACTTTTCTCACCCTTGTCAGCAATGTATCCTGAAAAAGAAAATCAAGTTCCTTGATGTGTCTAGAGACTTTATGAAAGCCTTAAACCTTTCCATATGTACAACAACTTATGGTGTGCATATAAATCTAAATGCTGGGCTTTTGATTTCTAAGGCTTTTGCTTGTGAGCAGAAATTGCCTTGAGTAAGAAGATGCTAAAGGTGCTTCATTTCCTAATTTCAATTTTTTATACCTACATCTGACAGCCAGTAGATGTTGCATACTTGTTTGCTCGTTTAGAGTCTCTACAAATATCAGTGATCTTTTTCATAATGTAGTGTCCTGGTTTCAGCTAAGATAGAGTTAGTTTTCTTCCTAGTAGCTGGTACAGTGCTGTATTTTGGATTTAGTATGAGAATAACATTGATAACACACTGATGTTTTAGTTGTTGCTAAGTAGCGCTTATCCTAAGGTAAGGATTTTTCAGTTTCCCGTGCTCTGCAAGTGAGCAGACGCACAAGAAGCTGGGAGGGAGCGTGGCCAGGACAGCTGACCTGAACCAACCAAAGGAATATTCCATACCACAGAACGTCATGCTCAGTATATAAAATACAGGGAGCTGGCCAGGAGGGGTGGATCACTGCTTGGGAACTAGCTGGACATCGGTCAGCAGGTGGTGAGCAACTGCATTGTGTATCACTTGTCTTTTCCTGGGTTTTATTTCTCTCTCTTTTTGTAATCTTCCTTTTCATTATTTATTTATTTATTTATTTATTTATTAATTTTTATTATTAAATTGTTCTTATCTTGACCCATGAGTTTTACTTCTTTTTTTCCAATTCTCCTCCCATCCCACTGCAGGTTGGAGGAGTGAGCGAGTGGCTGCATGGTACTTAGTTGCTGGCTAAGGTTAAACCATGACATGTAGGAATTCAGAAGTGAATACTTACTGATGAAAGTTTTGAGAGGGCTCTAGGATATTAGATTAAGGGAAAATGAAATAATGATTTATGCATCAAAAACCTTCCCTGAACACAAGTCTCAATAAATTCCACCTATTCTGCTAAAAGCTTGTTAGCTATTTTGATATTAATCTTCAAACACCTGTACAAGAAAGAAATTGTTGGTATGAGCAGAACCTTTAAACTAGAAAAGAAAAGGAAAGAAAAAAAACAACAGTAAAAAGATGCAGGAGTGGGAACTTCTTGTCAAAAAGATGTAGGTTGAAATAGGTAGGATTATGGATTTTTGCAATGTGGGTACTGTGCTATGGCAGCCAAGAGATGCAGTAGATAATCCATCACTTGAGTTCTTTAAATCCAGGTAGGTTGTATTGTTTGAACTGTAATGTAATTCAAGTATAAAATGTTAATCTCGGAGAAGGAATCTCTTCTACTCTGCAGGAGGTCAGACAGGCCCCTGTGATGTTCCCTTCTGGTCTGTAAGTCTACAAATTTGGGTCTGATTCATGTTCACCTTTGTGCACTTCTGAGCCAAGGTGTACAGAGAGCAGGAAGGACCAGGTCCTCCCTCCTCCTGACCTCACAGCAGCACTGAAGTCCTGTTGGGGCTCCCGTCAAACATGTTAACAAAACAGTAATATGAAATCTTTGTCTGTTCCAGCATGGGCCTATATTCACAATATTCGCTCTGGGAAAACGGTTTACTTTTGTGACTGAGGAAGAAGGAACTGAAGTATTTTTTAAATCTAAAGACTTAAATTTTGAACAGGCAGTACAAGCAGCTGTCAAGAATGCAGGTAAATGAGACCTAGCTCTTTTTTAATGGAAATCAGATCTAGTTACCCAGGAACATTAAAGCCCAATCCAAAGCCCATGGGCTTTTTGATCATGCTTTAAATGCTTATCTTGACCCATGACCACGCTACAAAATGAAGGTGAAATTAAATTCCTTTGTGAAGATCCAGCACTGTAAGCCTGCAAAGTGATTTGGATTCAGTCTCAACAGATCAAAGGTTTCTGAACCAGGGACTGTTATTACTTTTATCATCAGGCAACTCCAGTTTGAGATCAGGTCCTTTTCTGCGGCTAGACACTCCACCTATGTGTACCAGATTTGGAGCAATAGTATGTTGTCCTATCACTTAATTTGAAAATCAGCTTGTAGCAATAATTAGTTGTTACCCTGTTAGAAAGGGATGAGGTATATATCCCATCCACAGTGGCATGCTCCGTCAGCTTATGTGCTTACATCCACGTGGAATCGCACAGACAAGAATTCTTTGAGTAGTTTGGCAATTTTGGACTGTGAGATGAGAGAGAAGCAAGTTGGCAGAAAGATTAAATCACAGAATCCCTGTGGCTGGAAGGCATTGCTGGAGATCACCTAGTCCAAGCCCCTGCTCAGAGCAATGTCAGCGACAGCAGGTTGCTCAGGGCTGTGTCCAGTTGGGTTTTGAGTATCTCCAAGGATGGAGACTCCTCAACCACCCTGGGAAACCTGTTCCTGTGTTTGACCATCCTCATAATAAAAACTTTCCTATGTCTCTGTGGAATCTCTTGTATTCCCATTTGTGCCCATTGCCTCCTGTCCAGAGAAAAGACTGGCCTCATCTTCTTTACTCCGGCCACCAGATATTTATCCACACTGGTAAGATCCCCCTGAGCCATCTCTTCTTCAGCCTGAACAGTCCCAGCTCTCTCAGCCTCTCCTGATGTGACTGAGAGGATGTACTACTATAGCATGAAGAATCAAACTGTTTTTCTTGGATTAATTTATTTTTCATTTCAGTCAGTTTTGTGGAGTGCATGCACATCTCTGTACATCCACACTGAAGCTGGGGGAAAACTCTGCATTGTTGATTCTGGCACCGAAGCTTCATGAGACAGGAAGATGTTACACAGACTGGTAGAAGCAGAGGGATCACCAAAATCTTTACAGGGTTAGAAGAAAGCTTTCTGGGAATTTCAGTCTAGGAAAATGAGGGTTAAGGCATTTAAATTAGAGTCACAAGTTACGTGTAAAAATTTTCACTCTATCTTTCAGTGAAAATGTACTTCATCTACTTTCCAAAACATTTCTGTTTCTTTTTCTGTTTAGTTTCTGTCCCTGCAGAAGCATTTTATCAGAACCATGGTAACCTCTACAGCATGATGAAGGGAAAAATGGGTCCTTCTAATCTGCACATGTTCATGGGCACTTTGTGTGAGGAACTAAATGAGCACATGGCACACCTGGGCATGGAGGGCACAGGTGACCTCAGTGACCTGGTAAGGTAAGGGAGTTTTGCAGCACATCTGTAATGCATGGGTATCCTATATAGGAGCAGAGATGTTAACTGTAAAGCAGGTGGAACTCAGACTCTCAGATCTTAGAAAATCTTTGTCAGGATATTCATTGCTGCTTCACAGTTTCAGGTGGCTCACAGAGTGGGCAGGGTTTCATCTAAAGGTCTTTCTCCCAGCTAGGAGAAACGTCTATATTACCTATTTGGAAGAAAAAAGAAGACACAGCATCTTCCAGCAAACCCTGTTTCCCAAAAGATGGCATAAAACCTTTACACATTTATAAAGAACTTAAGAACAGACAAAATGCTTGATCTTCAGCAGGATGAAGACTTTGCCTGTGTGTTTTGGGCCAAGCCTAGCCCAAAACTTAAAGACCTCTGCAACTGACTTTGCTGCCAGAATTTCATCCTTCATTAGAAAAAAAAAAAAAAAAAAAAAAATCCCTTTACTGATAGTTTCACATGACAACAACAGAGCTTTTAACTCCTTCTTTCTGATCATCTGGGACAAGACCTGTATCTTGCCTGTCCATCAGGACTACAGGTTGAATATTGCCTTTGGTTTGGACCTATTTCTAAGACGTCACATCCAGATTGTCTTTTGCTGACTTTTTTCTGCATAATACATCTAAGATACAGCATTTTACTGCAGCTAAAACACTGAGCACCTGTCACTTCAACTACTGCAATTTGGATTAACTGGGGAAAAATGTGGGGGAAAGGGTCTTTGAAACCTCCCAGCCCTCAGTCCCGCTGGTCTCAATAATGGGGTGCAAACCCCCACATCCCATGGTGTTCCCCCACCTGTCTTCTGCGATCAAAGTCACATCTGCTTCTTGTGAAAAAATGGACAGTCATCAAATCGGTAGCGTGCTACACCACTGCCTGGTATGCTAATATTGGCTCACGTTTTCTTGTTATTTCCCTGTCCGAATCCATCCGTGGTCTTTTACCTGGGCTCAAGTTTCTGAGGGCACGGATGGACCTGTTTTTCTGTGCTCTACTAGCACCAGCACAGACTGTGGGCCACTAAATGGCATGGGTGCCCATGGTGGCATGGGTGTACAAGTCATGCATGAAGCATGCATGGCTCCCTACTGCATCCCTGATGCAGCAGCTTTGGGGAACAGGATGTTCTTCCCACTGCCATGGCTGTCATGGACACTGGTCATCAAATCCAAATCAGCTGCTATTTGTCTAAAATTAAAAAAAAAGTCATAGGCTAGTTGATAAACTACAGAATCCCTAAGAGTCATCCACAGTAAATTTGTGCTGAGTGTGATCTGTTCTTAGGGTTTTGCCAGACAACACAGGATAGAAGAATTGGACTGTAATGCCCTGGATACCTGTTATTTAGCTGCCCCAAAATAAAATCCACAGAGCCAGCAGGTGGCTCCACCTCCCTTATGATCTGTAGAAAAGCAAGAACGTGAAAGAGCCGTTGCCTGGAATACGCGTTGAGCAGCGGCTGGAACCCAGCAAAGACTGCATAAGGGTTTCTCAGAGCCCGAGAGTACAGGTGAAGAGGCCTGGGAAACGAGAGCAGAGTTTGAAGGGTAACAGAGGAGCAAATAGGGAAGGAGTGAGGTAAAAAGAAAACAACAAAAAAAGCATTGTTCAGTCCAGCAAAGCTGCTGCCGGAGGAAGGATTTCTTGGGGTGTCTGGCTGCAGAAGGGGTTGTGCAATGCCTGCAAGGTCCACATGGGCTAACCTGAAATAAGAGGGGTGGTTAATGGGGAGAAGGGGACCTCAGCGCCCAGAGCCTTTCTGCCACTGCTCAAGTGACCAAACGCTAGCTGATGAAGTTCAGCCACATGCCTGAGGTCTGTGTATTTCCCAGCCTCTGCTTAAAATCTGCAGTGAGGGTGTGAGTGAGGTATAAGCCTTGTGCCAGCCCTTCCATACCGGCATGACGCTTCAGTCCCGCACTTCTAGTGTTGGCAATTCAACATGCCACGTCCTGACCTAAAACTGCTGCAACGGCTTCCCTATGGCCTGTAACTCATGGGGATCTTGTCCTTGCAGGCATGTCATGTATCCAGCAGCGGTGAACACTTTGTTTGGGAAAGACATCTGCCCAACAAGTCAGAGTGAAATCAAGGAGTTTGAAGAACATTTTCAGAAGTACGATGAGGACTTCGAATACGCTTCTCAGATGCCCGAATGCTTCCTGAGGTAACAGAGCAGAGATGATGCACGTGGTATACGCATTACAGGCGTTTTGCTTGGTGGGATATCAACAGAGAGACATTTCCCCTGGAGGATGATGTGCTGTCTTTATCAATGGTGCACCCTCGGGTCCGGCAGGCTTTCAGCTAGGTGCTTCAAAAAAGTTCTGACCTCACCTCATGCATTTTCCTGGCATAAAGCAGAAACAACCTTGCTTAGGTGGGCAAGGTCCAGCTTGGACCTGTCAGGGAGAAGCAGAACTGGGCAAAGGGCAAAGGCCTGAGCCTAAATGTGAGTCCCAAGCTGAGGCGGTCACCAGCAAGGCATCTCCCTGCTCCTTCCAACACCTTAGCTGTTTTCCCAGCTGACTGATCCCAGGTTACGTGGCTGCACTGTCGCAGAGCTGACCTTGAGTAGAGGCAACCAAATGCCAAGGAAGGGAGTCTGTCAGTGCTATTTCAGCACCCTGAGCACCTGAAAATAGCCTTCAGAAAGAATTAAGGATGCTCTAAAAATGTGGCCTTTATTTTCTCCGGGGAGGTCATTCTTGAAAAGATTGACCTAAGCAATTGTCCAAAGTTACAATGAAAACCTGCAGTGGAAGAGATGTGAAAATCAGTCACAGGTCCTGGCTGCAAGATGAAGTCTGACCAAGGTGAAGGTGCCAGACGTGCTGTTCCTCATGTCAGTCAACACTACTGTCAGTCAGACTGACACTTGACTATTCATCAACCAACTGCTGCCCAGGGGCTTTTGGAGAGAAACCAAGGAGTGCTTCTCATGGAAAAGGAAATACTGGTTTGTGCTGCCTCAGTTAAGTGCTTCTTGTTTGTTGCTTTTCTTTACAGGAACTGGTCTAAATCCAAAAAATGGCTTCTAAAATTATTTGAGAAAGTAGTGTCAGATGCTGAAATGACCAACCCTTCAGAGACTACATCCAAGGTAAACATCTGAGGCTATGAAATAAGATGATGTTGTTGTATATTCTGACTGAAGGAATGGAGGGCAGGAATTATTTCAGTACTAGAAGAAATAAGCCAAATATTTTAGCTTTGATAGCTGTACTTTAATTGTCCAGTATTGCTATCACCCACATTAGGACAGACCCATTATTTTCAGTCCTACTCCTCAATTTAGTTTATTTCCTACAATTCTGAGAATTGGCATCTTCCTCTGGGGAATTTTAAGCCAAGGGTTCAGAGCTACGACCCATCGCCAGCCTCTGGTATCGCAGTTGCAGTAAGCAGTTGAAAGAGGTGAGAGAAAGACCTCTTCAGTTATTTCTCTGAGGGCACCATGCTGTGAAATTTCAAAACCTTACATGTACTATTTTTAAACCCTGGTGTAGAGTGAGTAGATCCTCCAGCAGCCAGACTAGTAGAAAATAGCAGATTACTGGATTGGAAGCCAAGTACCCTAAATATTGATTGTGTCAAAGCTGTGATAAGCTGTCCCCCTGGTTATTCTCCTTAGCTATGGCAGGAATTCTGTCTATACGGCTGACAAACACAAGGGCAGACTGGCCTGGAAATTTTGACTACCAAATTATTATAGAACAGATCATTAAACAAACCAGGTTTTATTTAGACTTTAAAGGCTTTACATAACCACAATTTCTTTCATAAAATAAACCAGAATAACGGCAAGAAAGAGAGGGCTGGAGAGGGGATGGTGGGAGGTAAGAAGGTGCAGGAAGTAAGAGGCACGAACTTGGTGTCTTAGATTGGGTGGGAATTTGGAAAAAAGAGCAGTAATTTTTTATTCAAGGGCAGCCTTTTCCCTTCTGAAAAGTAGACAGGAAGCTTTGCCTTGAATGCATGGTTGCCCTGTATTTAAGGAAATACTATAAACAAAAGCTGATCCTAGAACATTACACAGTTGCTATAGTTTCAAAGAATAGCAAGCCATTGAAGTAATTGGTTAGGTCACTAACAAAACACCTGGAACTAGGGAGTTCACTGATATGTCAGACCATCTCTTCATAACAAGCACCTTTTTGGCAGGAACAGAGAGAACATTTTCTTCATTTCCATTCATTCAACTTGTTCAGTCCCATTTTCAGGTTCTTTAAAGTAGAGAAGTAGAGCAGGAATTAAAAAAGAATAGAGATTTCTTTTTTTCTTTCTTCCACATACAAGCAACAATGGAGAGTGAGGGAACCAAATCCCATAAAAACTTTAAGAAAATGGAGGGCAGTGTGAGTAGTCAGTAGGGATTCATGTGGTGCAGTGACTTCTTCCAGCCCTCTGCCTAGGAGTGAGTCTCACTTTCTCTTAACAGCTGTCATCTCTAGTTTGTGACTGCAAAAACCCCATAACTAACATCACTTCTCTTTGATAAACTAGTCTTACATTATATCCTTGAATTCTAGTAAGCCCTACCCTAAACTAGATTTTAATATATTTTTGGAAATACACATTATTATCTTTTATTTATAACAGACACTACTGCAACATCTCCTGGATAACTTGCAAGGAAAACACCTAGCTCCCAATTATGGTCTCCTAATGCTCTGGGCTTCCCAAGCAAATACTGTCCCTGTAAGTACATCAGCTAGAGAAACACCTTCTCTCTATCCTGTTCAAAAGCCTGTATTTGGGAAGCAAAGACTTTGAACCAGAGGTCGCACACACTGCATGTATTCCAAAGAAGGGATTATCACGCCCACATGCATCACTACAAATATACCCAGGCTGCAATGTCACAGAAGCAATGACAAGAAAAGCTCTTCTTGTGTTTTTCCTTAATTATGATGTCCCCTATCATAACATTTTGGGAACATAAGTCTCATAGCTATTAAGATTACAGTCTTAAGCTGTGAAGAGCATTTAACTCTATTTTGAAGTACTGTGGCTGTATTATAGTAGAGACTCTATTTTAAATAGCCTGGTGTTACCAATTGTAAAGAATATCAAAAGCATAATATAGAGTAACTTCATCTATATGTAAATCCTTGAGTGAATTTGGCTCTCTCACTTTGGGGGATCTGCTGTACAAATGCCAGCGTTGCTTCAGGGGAAGAAAAGCAATAGTTCGATTCTACTGCCACTTAAGTTTTGTCTATGTTAGAAACAGAGTTGATGGATTAATGATACAGATATATGCATGCTAACAAGCCCTATATATCTAACACAGCTTAGGCTGACCAAAGACATTTATAGGAATTTCTCAGATGAAAAATCCATAGCAACAAAAACATCCTTTATTTACCATGACTATTAAGCTCTTTCCAGCAGAGTTACGTCCGTTGCAGATGTGATTTAGAAAAAAATGATAGTGAGTTATTTTTATTTACTGCTGGTGGATATATCTATGTTTTTTCTAGATTGGATATTACTACAATTTACCCTAAAGGAATTTCAGCCATTTCAGTGAGGTTTCTGTGGATTCACATGTTGGTATAAGTGAGAGGCATAGCCTGCTGTTATCAGGATAACTGACATTCCTTCCACAACACTATCATTACTTACTTCTGTAATATTCAGCTGTAAATAGACATACAGATACTTCGTTGTTTCTCAGAATAGTCACAACCACTGTTCTGGTGACTGGAATGATGAAAAAAGGCCTTGCACCTTCCAAGGGGATTTTTTACAAGCATGTTAAACCCTTTTATCTGAAACAATTCAGTTATCCCACCTTAGCCCATGGGGTGAAGCCACACTGTCCAAGTGCTGTAGAAGAAAACTAAGCTACCAGATTTGTTTTGCAGGAGGGCTGCATCCACGTGGGGATATTTGGGAAATAACAGTAAGAGTTCTCATACCTCACCAGCACAGATGGCCTGCGACCAGATCTGTGTGCTGACTGCATCTCCCACTAGCCCAGCAAGAGGAGAGAGACTCCTGGCAGTGCTGCGAGTCCTTCTGGTTTCATTCTACTTAAGAGGATTTTCTCCTTTCCTAAATTTCTTGATTTTCAACTTCATTGCATAATCAGTTAGCAAATTATTTCTAAAGGGGATATACTAGTGCTTGTTTTTCTGTTAATTAAAACTTGTCCTGCCCATTTTAGTGTGACTCACTGTGACAATGCCCTGCAAATTACTTAGCTTCATTTCTGCTAATATTAGTAGGAATTTACTATTTCACTTTTTCCACTCATGCAGCTAAATCTAATCAAACACAATGATTTAGTAATTCATTTTAACACCTAGTTATTTGAAATTAAAAAAAGGATTCTGTGTTTCAAAGCTCAAAGCCAAACCTATATAATGTTCACTAAAGATAAGTACACAGCAGATGACTAGACATAATCTCCCAGGATCTGAGCCCTTAGATGTGGATTTACCCGGGAAGCACAGCTCCCTGTACATCCCAACTACAACAGGCACATACAAAAAAGTGCAAATGTTTTCACCTGCCTTTGTGATTTGCTACAAAGATAATGTAATTCTGTCCCATATTCCTGAGTTAAATTACTTTCATCTCTGTTTAGACTGCATTTTGGACCCTTGTTTTCATACTCTCTTATCCTTCCATTTACAAGAAAATCATGGAAGACCTGGCTTCTGTTTTTGGCAAAGCAGGTAATAAATCCAACTGTGTCCTTCTGGAACCTAGAAATGATTTATTCTGTGTTGGCCCAGCACACGGCACACTTGGTCGATGGCTGGGAATAATGAATATTGCTGCTAAGGGTACTACTGATAACATGGAGTCCAGCTCTGAGTTTTTTACTCAGCATATGCTCAAGACATATTTTTAAGCAAAACCACCTTTGATGTTAGCAAAAGAAGGTAGAAAAAGAACCATATGTATTTGTCTTTTCATTCCACACCTATCATTTAGACCTATATTTGTATTAACCAGTCTTGTGCTTTTTTCATGCATCTATGATCAGGTGAGATGAGGTCTTTCAATTCAGCTGCTTTTCATGGTGCGATGTTCACCAGAATTACAGTTATCCTGTGGAAAAACAGGCCAGGAACTGTTCTCTTTTCTCTCATCTGAGGCCAATTTGTCCAGCATGATTCACCCACCCTGACTAATCTCTTTCCCTCAAAAACCAGTCACCTACTGGGAGCAGTCATTCACATACACAGTCCCCTGAACCATGCTTAGACCTTCATGGAAGACTCTTAGTTGACATGGGTCAAAACCACATCAAGGAACATGCCAATAATTAACCAAAAAGGAAAAACATGAACCAGTGCTTAACCCTTTCTCCTGGCCCTGTTTTATTTACTTAGTTAGTTAACACTTTAGTGTTAACATAGCCCAGGAGCTCAGCCATGGCTTCTTGTCTTGGTGCCTACCGTCCCTGAGATTTCCATGCAATGTCCTACTAAAGTACTGAAAAAGTCCACGGGCTCTTAACTTCCAAGATGGCCTTTGTTTGGCCTCTTCTGGCCAATGCCATATCTACACCTACTTTAGAGTCATTAAATTATCTTCAGTGGCTTTTCTTAAAGTGTACTGATTTTGGTCCATTTATTTACTTTGAAATATAAAGAAAATTTCTGGGTGTAAACAAGGTCTTGAAGTAATGAGTTATTCTGTCAAAAGTTCTAAAGCAAGACATATCAGCATGTATCAAAACAAGTATGAAATCTAACTTTTACACAGAGTCTTCTTTCTTACGCCATGACAGGTAAAGATAAAATAGAAGTCTCTGAAGAGGACCTTAAGAAGCTCCCTTTCATTAAATGGTGCACTTTGGAAGCCATACGGCTAAGGTCTCCAGGTGCAATCACCAAGAAAGTAGTAAACCCAATAAGAATTCAGGTGAGATTTGGGGTTTTTTCCCCCCAAAACTGATGCTGTATAATTTGTCTGGAAAGGGGCCTCCCAATAGATCTGGATAAAATTAAAATAGTAGAGATATTCCACAATCTCACATATATCTTCTGTTTAACAGATTTATTCATCATCATTAATTTCATAATCATTAATTTAAGAGTGGTTTTGCTTCTCTTAATCACAGTCTTACCTTCAATTTTGAATTGCTTTTAGATTGAATTGAATTGAGCTGGAGATACTGGGCTGATGGTATATGAACTAGTAATCAGACACAACAAGTATAGTAGAAGGGACCACAATTTAGTAACTGATAATACTCCTTCTTTTCTGTTTGCCCTCTTCACTGCCATTCAGAAGGGAAGTGTCAGCATTCAGGAGTCTAACAAATAAATGTTTGGGAGAAAAACACTCTCTTAAGGAAGCAGCACTCATGCTTATTTAAGAAATTACTAAAGTCCCATAAAGGTCTACTGCATTATAAGACTTTCTATGAATTTCTTTGCATTGAAGGAAATGCTTAGCAAAAGATTTAGAAAAAAATACCAGCTCACATGGTACATTAAGAAGCAGGAAAGACAGAAATAGTGTTTCTATTATTTCAATACCTGAAAAAAACAAATTAGAATGAAAAAAGTCTTACCACGTTCTCCACTGTTTAGGTCTTTCTTGTGGAAAAAAATGGCAACAGCAAGAAGAAGCTTCAAACATGTGATATGCCCACTGTGGCTTTACCATCTTCACTTGTCCTCTGTTAGGACCTTCTGCTGATGGAAGAGATGTATTAAGGAGGGACTGTTTTGTGAGTTGAACCGGTGATTTTCTCTTTTCTTAGAGTTTTTTCTCCTTTTCAGAATTTCACCATTCCTGCAGGTGACATGCTGATGTTGTCACCGTATTGGTTGCACAGGAATCCAAAATATTTTCCTGATCCAGATGTGTTCAAACCTGTAAGTTGTCACTCTTAGCATGGGTATTTTGCTGTCTTTTCTCCTCTTCACTTATTTCACAACAAAAGCATATGGACAAATTGGCTTAAAGTTGGGTATTCCCCATTGTCTGGAGGATGGCCTTGTATGCAGAGAAGATGTGCACAAAAAGGAGGAGCCTGTAGAAATAATCAAGACTTTGAAGTTCAGTTTTATGTTCCAAATAATATGGTACTACTTTACATCACTTTGATCTTGATTCAAAGCTCACCGTGGAAAGAGCCCACTGATTGAACCCGCCTTGTTTGACTAACCTGATCTCCTTCTGTGACAAGGTGACCTGCTTAATGGATGAGGGAAAGGCTGTGGATATTGTCTACCTAGACTTTAGTAAAGCCTTTGACACCATCTCCCATAGCATCCTCCTGGAGAAACTGGCTGTTCATGGCTTGGATGGGCGTACTCTTTGCTGGGGAAAAAACGGGCTGGATGGCTGGGCCCAAAGAGTTGTGGTGAATGGAGTGAAATCTGGTTGGCATCCAGTCACAAGTGGTGTTCCCCAGGGCTCAGTATTGGGGCTGGTTCTGTTTAATATCTTTATCAATGATCTGGATGAGGGGATCACATGCACCCTCGTTTGCAGAGGACACCAAGTTGGGCGGGAGTGTTGATCTGTTGGAGGGTAGGAAGGTTCTGCAGAGGGATCTGGCCAGGCTGGATCGATGGGCTGAGGCCAATTGTACGAGGTTCAACAAGGCCAAGTGCCGGGTCCTGCACCTGGGTTACAACAACCCCATGGAACGCTACAGGCTTGGGGAAGAGTGGCTGGAAAGCTGCCCAGTGGAAAAGGACCTGGGGGTGCTGGTGGACAGCCGGCTGAATGTGAGCTGGCAGTGTGTCCACGTGGCCAAGAAGGCCAATGGCATCCTGGCTTGTATCAGATATAGTGTGGCCAGCAGGAGCAGGGAAGTGATTTGTCCCCCTGTACTCGGCACTGGTGGGGCTGCACCTTGACTGCTGTGTTCGGTTTTGGGCCCCTCACTACAAGAAAGACATTGAGGTGCTGGAGTGTGTGCAGAGAAGGGCAACGAAGCTGGTGAAGGGCCTGGAGCACAAGTCTTATGAGGAGCAGCTGAGGGAACTGGGGTTGTTCAGCCTGGAGAAAAGGAGGCTGAAGGGAGACCTGATCGCTCTCTACAACTACCTGAAAGGAGGTTGTAGCGAGGTGGGGCTCGGTCCCTTCTCCCAAGTAACAAGTGACAGGACAAGAGGAGGTGGCCCCAAGTTGCACCAGGGAGGTTTAGATTGGATATTAGGAAAAATTTCTTCACTGAAAGGGTTGTCAAGCACTGGAAGAGACTGCCCAGGGAAGTGGTGAAGTCACCATCCCTGGAGTTGTTTAAAAGACTTGTAGATGTGGTGCTTAGGGACATGGTTTAGTGGTGGACTTGACAGTGTTAGGTTAACAGTTGGACTCAATGATCTTAAAGGTCTTTTCCAACCTAAATGATTCTATGATTCCAAGTACTCTCCTCACCCTGTCATTTGTTTGTATAGCTTATCTCCATGTATTTACCCAGGTTCATTGGTCTTTCCAGCCAGATGATTTCTGGTACATATTAGCTCTGCTAATTCAGTAGTTCATCTAGAGTTTCTTGATTATTATTCCACTCCAGGTGGCTGTGTGGGCAGGCTTGTAACTGCTCTTTTTAGCACCATCCGATATAGAACAGTTTGTCTTTTTTATAGAAATACATCAAGGAGTAATTTAAACAAAATTTCCCTTCTAGCAAACTCTTCACCAACTTGAAACCCCTCATAACAATTCCTGCCTGTTTGAAATCCAAAGCAGAAACCCTAATGCAGCAGCTTATTTCTTTAGTAACTTTATTCATAAAAAGCAAGCTAGCTTGTTTTTTAGAAACTCACCCTTTTTCCACGAGGTATAGGTGAGTGCCCCTTGGACACTGCCATTCCAAATGTATCGCCTTGCTTCATCACTGCTGAGATTTTTTTCTTGCTTTTATTGGATTTTGATGCTAACAGGTTTCCTCTTCAGAAAGGTCTAAACAGCCCTAGCTGGAAAAAAAAAAAAACCCAAACTAAGCAAACACAAGATTACCTCTTCTCTAAGACAGCTTCATCAGAGGAGTTAGCCATCATAAACTTGACAGGGTGTTACTTGAGGGCCTTGGTAGAGTTGCACTGAGTTTCTGGACGCTGGTATAGTTTGTCACCCAGCATTCAAGAGATTTACTTCTGTCAGTGTCACCCACCCAAACTGCCCATGTTGCCTTGTTCCTTGTGTTGTTCCTTTTCTCTTAAAGCAACTCAGGATGGAGCAAGGAGCCCTCTGGGTACAGACAGCCTGTTTTTGTTGAGAATAGTTCATTTTCTCACACGCTGGCTTGCACCTGAGAATGAGGCTCTGTGATCCTTGCTCTTCTCTTGTGTTACAGCTCATACCTCATATTTGTCTGTGCACAGCATCTTAGAAATGGTTTGTGTGCAAGATATGCATGAGCCATTTGTGTGCCGTGATACAATTTTATGGCTGAGGGTAGGTACTGGTTGAACATTTGCTTTGAATGTGCATATATTTAAAAGGATAAAGTTGCATTTTTATAGGCATTTCAATAACTCAAGATGCAGGATTTAGAAAAATGGGAAGGTATAGGAAGAATGCTTTAGGGGTGATTTTGAAAACCTCTCCAGCACTTTGAGGCACCTAAGTATGTTTCAAATGGGACTCTCATTTCTTTCCCTGAGTCAGTGCTGACTTTTAAATCCAGACTCTAACACTAACAGGTTGAATGCAAAAAAATGGCATTAGTGCAACTTCGTATTGAGGATTAGCTGTCCAAGGTCATTTTTAGCCTGGAGAAATAAAGTTAAGCTTTATTTATGTAAGGCTGATTTGGAAAAAAAAAGTTTCTTCCCACAGGATCGTTGGAAAGAGGCAAATTTAGAGAAGAATGCTTTCTTGGACAGCTTTGTGGCATTCGGAGGAGGGAACCATCAGTGTCCAGGAAGGTCAGTGAAACAGCTGGGGTTTATTTATTCCCAACCCTGCAGAGAACAACTCTCTTGAACTGGGCTCCTCTTACACTTGGAGATAAAGTGTTTTCATTGCTTTGCTCTTTGTCAGTCCCCTAATATTCAGTATTATCTGGACCTTGTTTAAACTGATTTGAAAGTAGTTTCACTCCTGGAAAAGTTAAGGTTAAGTCACAATGTAAAAGCAGAATCTGAGACTACTGTATCAAGGGATATCCCCCAGGGAGGAAAGTCAGCCTATCTCTGCTGCTGCAAAGGCATCTTTTCATCAAGGGAGGGTTGCTCCACTTACAAACATGCCAGTTTACAGACATAGGTGTTTAGGTTGCCATAAACCAGTTCTAAACTAACCTAAAGAACATTTTTTTGGTCTGAGACTCTCTTTCCATCCTCTATGATGCCATTGACATCTTTACTAATCATTAAGTGTCTTAACTGGCTCCTCACTGTTTGAATCTTGTCTTTGCATTAAGGCCCACGCAACTGCATGATGGCTTCAATTGCAGATCCTGTCTCCCTTCACTCCTCCAGCAATGCCAGGCTTAATGCTTCCTGCATTCCTTCTGCTGTTTTCTCTGCTGTCCCTCTTCCTGGAACAAGTCCCAGGGAGCCAGCTGCTCCTTGTTTCTGTGTTCAAACATCTCTATGCTCAATTCTCTGCCTTCAAAACCTGGTCTCCTCTAAGAAGCAAGGAACCAGGAATCCTTAAAATTAGCCAATTTAACTCAAGACTCCCATGTGGGGCAAGGAATCTAGAGGGTGTTGCAGAGAATCTGCATTCTTGAATCTGCACCCTATAGCAGGCTGGACATGAGTGTCAGATAAACTTTGTGAAGGCACTAAAGGCATAAACAAAATGAATAAAACGGCATTCACCATTTAGGCTTGCCAGAGCTCACTCACTGCTGTACCTCTGTGGCTTGTACCATATTCCTGAGCTAAATATGAGCACAGCCTCATTCCCAGCAAGAGTGACAGCAGAATTCACAAGAGGAATCTGCAGGTACAGGACAAGCTGCAAAACAATGTTTCTGAAAGCTGCTTATTTATATATACAGACCTATTTCTTTGTTCAGGCTCTTCTCTGGACTCTGATAATATCTTTAAAATAAGTTTGTGGTTAGAAAGAAAATGATAACTTTTCTATATAGACAACAGATGGAGAATCTTTTTCTTGCTGACAGACAAAAAGTCCTTTCAAACCCTTCTGCAGTCTACATAGTAACACACACCTTCACATTTTTCAGCAATAATTCTAAAAGAATAATGTCGTGGTCTTGGAAGAAAGGAAATTAAATCAAGGGATGTATCTAGATCCCAGGTTGCAGATTTCCTTGGTATGACTGAATGAAACAATGATATTTCATGTTTAAGATGCATTTTCATTTGATTCAGTACTGGGATTTATAAATGAAATGTATTAAACATTTAATTTCGCTACTGCAAAAGTTCATTGTGAAATCAAAAGCTAATTTAATCAAACTGAAAGCTTGAAAATAACTTACTTGTCAAATATTCTACCAAACTGACATGGGTAGAGCTCCCACAAAGCCATGTCTGTGCCATCTTTTTTACCTAAAGGAAAATTTTGATGGCAGTGAAGCTCCTTGTGTCTAACCAGGTGACTATTGCCTGTGAGACTGTGCTTATCTTGCGTAGCTCTCGCCTGTTGTCTCCTATCTTATGCTGACATTGTAAACCCCTCAGCACAACGGCCGGGACTTCATTCTTGGACTCCACTTATGCAGGACCTCACTCCACAGCTGGGGTCCTGGGTTCCAGCACAACACAAATATGTAGCAGTGCATTGGGGGCAAGATTTCAGAAAGCACATCTTTGTCAAAACACCCTGTCACTAAATAAAACGGGTAGGCGTCAGTGGCTCAGAGTTTTTAGAGGAAAACTGCTCTAGGACTCAGTCATGAATACGAAAGACAGGTGGGAACTAAGGGGCATTTATCTGCAAGAAAGCTCACAGTTTCTGCTCAGTACAATGTGCCATGGGAGAGAAAGACGCACTGGGACTTTGCAGTCCTGCCTTTCACTCCTGGACCGTCCCTCTGGCCACCCTCAGACATGTGTGTTGCTTATCATCCTTGTGTCTCAGCATCTGTTTGCAGAGCAGAATAATAACAAGGGCAGCCTGTTGGGAAAAGCACTTTGAGATTTAACGGTGGGAAGTGCTGCAGTCAGTTATCAGTTATATCCATTGCTGCTCAGACAGATTGCAGATGAACCCCACTGCGGGTACAGAGGTGTCAAAGCTGGTCAGCCCACATCTGGCTGTGCTCGTGTTTGAAGGACAGCCCTCTGTAAATGCAGCATTTCCACTTCATGGGCAACCTAGAGGCATTTTGGCATTTGGCTGCATCATGGTATACCCGTGCCAAGTCAGTGAGGATGGCTCAGAGGCAGGACCTCAAGCACCAGGGCTCCAGGGCCGCACTGTGCAAACAGTGCAGTGACCGTAAGGAGCCCACCTTCGTACGGCATGGAGTTTGGGCTAGTAAGTCCTCCCTGACCTGAGGTAATTTCCATTGAAATATCTCTGCACTGCATTCCCCCAAGCTCAATGTCACCAAAAGCTCCCTATCTCAAGGTAATTGCAATGTGAAATCACTGAGATAATTTGGGTCTGAAGCTATGCCAAAACGAACAAGCATCCTCCCACTCCGGAGCATGGGGTGGCTCAGTACACAGATCTGGATGGCTCTGCAGGAGTTAGCTTGGGTCCCGGGGGGCTTATTAGCTTCCTCTTCACACCTGCCAGGCCAAATCCAGGCTGACACCATGTACAGTCATGTGGCCTTCTCCCCAGTGAATTCTCCAATAGCTGTTTTATCCAAGTTTTCCAGCATCTCTCAGATAATGGAAAATAAACTGCATAGAAGAGCAAGGTAGTATTACTATTTTAACTAGGTATTTAAGACTTATGTCTAAATCATGCAAGCAAGTAATCCCATGTCCTGGCATAGGTGCATGATGGTGCCTGAATGCAGAAAGCTCTTGTACATATCAACATTAAAAAAGTAACAGCCTAGATGAGTTCACCTGCAGATCTTCTCTGGACTGACTAAGAAAGACCTTTCTTGAGAGTTACAGGAAAAAAAATCATGCCCTTGGGTCTCATACTGCATTCTAACGCTGACGCATTAAATACTAACTCCTGCTGTCACAGCTACTCTGATGTCATCAGGCTCCCAGCTGTATTATATAACTTTATATAGCACAATTAGTCATATAGCCTTTTCTATATTTGACTGTCTTCTCACTCCTATGAAGTTATTTCAAGTCGGCAAGCGTTAGAAGAACACAAATGTTTATACAGTGGAAAAAATCATAATGATAAGGGGCTGTTTTAAGATAGGGTGTCAGAGGGATACTGTTGGTCTAACATTTCACCGGAAAGAAGGGGCAGCCGCTACATTCATGTTCCTCACTGAGTAATGAAGCTGAACAAAGCCACAGCATATTTTCCTACTGAAGATAAACCTTCAGGCAGAACTAAAGCATGGAATGTAAAATGTGTCAAAGACACCCTGTTTCTTATCTGGTGATAACACACGTGTGATTGTAAGGCCAATGTTTTCCTCCCTTTTCTTGCAGGTGGTTTGCTATCATGGAAATCCAGTTGTTTGTTGTGCTATTCCTATACAAATATGAATTTGTGCTTTTGGATGCAGTACCAAAGGAGGTAAAAGATCCATGTATTTATATAGCATTCCACATCTTTATATCCTTTGTTCATCACGCTCAGCTGAACAGCCATGCTCAACTGTGGTTATGTATAATGAAGCAAAATTTCGTGAGGAGTGTTAATAAAACATGTAATGAATAACTTGATCTTTGTTTTAACTCAGAAAACCCAGAGTAACTCTGACAATGTTAGTGGGGCTGCACTGTCTATAGAAGAAAGTGCCTACAAGAGTATTTTCTCATCATTGCCTAAACGTTACAAGAGATTTTATATTGCTTTCTGCCACTCAGAAAAACAATGAATATGGAACTGGATTATTAATACTTTAAAGATATTAAATCAGATGCAGCACTTGCAGTGCTCTTCCACTACATATTCAGTGGTGGAAGATAAATGATTAGGGTAAGACTGACAGAGCAGCTGTGGCAGAGAAAGGTTTTACCATTAAGGGAGAGTGGCGCAGTCTCCACTCTCAGCAGTAATTTCCTTGTCCATTTGCACTGTGTCCTTTCTACTTTCCAAAAATCATTGTTCCTCACAAACACGGACTGCCACTAAATGAGCATGTCTACCTGTCATAACCTAAACATGACATGCATGCCCTATAGCTAAACTGCCAAGGAGCAGAGGGAGAAGTTTAGAGCAGCATGGGCTTTGTACGGTTGCCCTTTAGCCTGGAAGGTGGAAGCTTGGAGAACTTAGTTCCTCTGCTCTCCTTGAAGAACATGAGATGTTGATCTCAAGTAGTGGTAGAGAGTCCACCCAGAATATGGAGGAAGGTTGCCTCTTCCTGACTGATGGTGTGTTGCCATGCCAGCTCTCACTGGAGTTGATTGTAACTTGGGTCTGCACCCACAGGCAGTTATGCAGGTGAAGATATTCAAAACCATTAGAGTTTCTTAAGATCTCATGTGTTACCCTCTGTCAGAGTGAGTGGAATAAAAAGTAACCATGAAGGCCCTACTCAATGGCTTCGGCAAAGCCAAGAAATACTCTCAGTGTTTCGTCTTGGTTCTCTAAGACCAAAGCTCCAAGAACATGTTTATATCTTAGTATTAAAGCAGGATGATAATACCATTAACTGAACTAACTTAAATGTTTCTACGGATTTTCTTCTTTTTGCAGAGCCCTTTACATTTGGTGGGGACACAGCAACCCATGGCACCATTCCGGGTCCAGTATAAATGCCGGGAATGAAAGCTGCCCAGCACTAACTGACCTTCCTTTGCCAGCCACCCCTGGATGGATGGACCACTGAGCTGCTTCCCTATCTTACATCTTCATATAGGTTCTCTGCCTTAACAGTTCTTAATTTCAACTTTAAATGCTGTACATACTCTGCATTGTGGTATGCCATACCAGTATAGTCGTATCTGTGCTCCTCACCCGATTGCCTACCTCCTACTGTTTAAAAATCAAGCTCTCCTGCTGCACTGATAATTTGTGGGTCAAATTATTCACAGATTTTGCAGATAACTGATATACTAAACTCACCAACCAGACATTCAGGACAAAAAGCTGCTCCATTTGGAAATCCTGCATGGAAGTTGTACTAGAACCAGCAGAAAAGCAGGTCCCTTGGGCCAGGTCACTGCTTCCTGCAGGTCTCCAAACCAAGGCCAAAGTGGTGCCTCGTGCTAAGAAACCAGACTGGTAACTCCATAGGGCTCCCTGGTGCTGGTGTGCACAGAACACAGGACAGTGCTGAGCAGAGACCTCCGGATCAGATCCACAGCCATGATAAACTAGCATGACTTATGTAGCACTGCCTGTGTAGGTAGATAAAGATCTGGCCTGCTCTGCCTACAGTTGGTGCCAAATTTTGCAAATAAAATGCATTTGTAATGGAAAAACTGTAAGCATGGGAAACACTGGGGTCTTGTTCCACCGGAGCACCTAAAATTTCTACTGAACTTTATTTGCTCCACAGGATTCAGAATCGGTCTTTGTATGAATATGCAATGAAAGTTTGATCGTGATGTTTGGCTTCTAATAAAAAGTGATTGGAAGAAAAGCTATTGCTATTCATTAGACTGGTTGTCTAATACCTAGAACATTTTTGCTTTCCCTTTAACATGACTGACTTACAGAATAAATTGCACAAATCTAAAAATATTTAATCCTAGAAAGAATACCTAGTTAAAGCTGTTCAAAGAAGCTGTCAAATAAGTTCAGATACCAACACTTTAACTGCTGTCAGATTTCATATACGATAATAGCTGGCATGTATTTTTAGTCTTTTAAGTAAAGATTATTCATCATTTTAGAAGTATTTGTAAAAAAACATAAATGGACTTTCAACAACAGTAAAAACTATGGGAATAACATCCATAGGAAAATAACACATTGTATAATTCATTAAATGGTTGGCTTACCTCAGTTACAGCTACAACAATTTAACAAGCTTTAATGATTTATATGGCTGGAAGATGATTTGTCCGACTTCTAATTTAGCTCATACTGGTTAACTGTGCAAGTGTTGCACTCTTATCTGCTGTTTCAGAATCTCTTCCATAACTCAAAACTATTCCCTTGGTTTTCACATGTGGTCATTACCCAAAAGTGTATATTTTAATTTTAAAATTTGGAAATGTCCACAATATTTGTTCAGGTATCTTGTAGTTTTGCAAAGATTTTTTTTTTTTCCCCCAATGTGCATTTATTTTTATTTTTCTGTTTAATTACTTTTGGGTTTGGGGTTTTTTTGTGTGTGTGTTATTTTGTTTTCATTCGTTTTTTCCCCAAGAGAGGTAACTCAAAAAAATCAAAATTCCATAATGGCAAACTTGACTTTAAACTAAAAAGGTCCCTAAAGGAAAGTATAACCTGAAGGTAGCATCAATTTGATTAGAATGAATAAAAGGCACCTGAAGCCAACTAAAACTGTGAATATTTAATAACACACCACTGCACATGGTTTCCGATCTGTACGAAACACAAGCACAACTCTGGTGTAGTTTCTATATATTGCTGAGTTTTTCAGACTTGGTGTGATCTTGTGTCTGGTGAGAACTACGTTCTGTCTCCTACATGCTGCAAGAACAGCCTGTGGGCAATGTTAGGGTATGTGATAAAAACCACATTCCCCCTCTAAAGCAGAGGAGCAAAAGCAGGTGGGGACCCTGAGCAATGCCCTGCCCAGCACCTCCCAGGGCTGGCCATGTGCAGGGGTGACACCCAGCAGCGACAACGGGAGCAGCTCCCACCTTTTGGGCTGAGGAGGCAACACTGCCTGTGGGCATGGGACACATTGTGGGATGCAGGGGAGAAGCAGCTTGTGGCTGCACAAGACTTCCTATGGGATGTTTAGGGGGGGAAGCAAAGGAGGGGAAAGGGGGAGATCGAAGTGGCTTGGGGAGGAACAAATGTGGGGAAAAAAAGAGGGATAAGGGGATAAAAGAGGTTAGTTGCCTGTAAACAGGCTGCTGACAGCTATGCTTGTCCAGCTGTGCCCTGTGCCTGATCAGTGCAGTCTGTCCTGTCTTCTTTTTACTCTCCATTTTCACATCTTTTCCTGTGGAATGGTCTCTCTTGTGTGTGCACATGTGTGTATGGGGGTGTGAGTATCAGGCCCAGCTGCTGGAGGGATCCGTATTGTACGTGTGTATTTTTACATACAGTTCACACTCACAGACTTCACCCTGATCTGCCTGAGAGGGGAGCAGGACGAGGCTGTTGGTGCTGCTTGTGTGATGCTGAGTGTTTCTGTCTGTGTTGGCCAGTGGGGCCATCAGTGCATACAGACGTTGCATGTGTGTGTTTGTGCATGTGCCTGCTGGGAATCTATGCTCAGCCTCGCTGCATGCTGGACCCAGAGGCGAGGAGCTGCGGCAGCCTTGCCTCTGTCAGGCTAGCAGATTTAGCAACTCCCTAGCAGTCTAGAATTAGTTAGGAAAATGTTTGTCCTGAAAGGCAGGATGTATTTTTATTAAAGTGTAGGCTTTGGCAGGAAAGAAGTACCTGTTCTAGACAGCCAGAGACATACCAAACAAGCAGGTGAAGAAAAGTGGGCTTCACTCTGGGATCCTATCACTGTGTGACTGCTCTGTAGTGGATGACAGCTCCATGCAGTTGCCATACTTTCCTAGGTGGAAAAAAACAAGGGAGGTGGATTAGTAAAGCAATGTGGTGGTCAAGTGATAGAGCTAAATGGGGTCTTCTACCTGGAAATAATTCAGAAGCTTCTGGTGGGGGGAAATACAGCACTTTCCCACTGGGACAGGGTTAAACGGGTATTAAAAGGTCATCACGATACTCTACTCACGAGTGGATTGACAGTATCTAAATTATCCTTCTTCAAGTGTTTGTTCAGTCTGCTTTTAAATAAGGCAGTGCTGAATTTCCATGGGGGATTTGTCCTCTTACCTGACTCTCCCTACTGTTAGAAAGCTTTTCTACATATCAGTAGCAGGAGTCAGAATGAGGTTTTATTCATACTGCTACCACAAGGGTGTATGAAGCAGGAGATTTTTAAGCCCACAGAGAAAAAAAATAGTGTATTTTGACCTATATTTGTATTTCTACCTTCTGTACGAAGTATGGCTGTTAAAGGGAATGCAGTGGGGCATCCCTCAAAAAACATCTTAGAAAATGCAGTTGTTCCTCCTCCAGACATACCATAGGCCAGATCTATCTGAGCAAAACTCACAGTTTGTGCTGGCCAGGACTGTATGTTGGTATTCATTTATATTGGGATAAATAACTCCCATGTTTAACCCAGTGAAACAAATGGTAGGAGTCTTCTTAACAAGAGAGAGGAAATCTAGAGTTATGAGAAGTGAGCAATAAAACTCTTTTAAATCAAATTTCCTTTAATAATTTTTTGATTTTATTGTATATTAAAGAAGACTTTCAAGGAAAAAGAACGCAGAAACTATCACACTGCAACATTTTTTTGATACTTTTCAGGAAAGTATAAACATTTTCCTGAAAACATACATTTCCTGTGGAAATACAGTATTTGACAGAAAACTCATCAAAACATTTTGAGGTAAAATTGTTGACCTACTGCAAATGAATCTGCTCCAGTCAGCATGGTAAAGAGATCACCCATTGTATCAGCACCCACCTCCCAGAATAATCACAGCTTCTTTTATGTCTTCCCTCTAATGAGCCTCAATGAAGGCCCCTCTCATCTGTACTTAGCAGTCAAGTATTTCAAGTGGTCTCTTTCTTTATGCTAGTAACGGCATTCGATATCTTTTCTGTGCCACTGATTGTCACAGAAACAAGAAGTTTAGGCTTAGCACGTATACCTTCTGAAAATAGATATCTGGGGACTAAAAGATATGGCTGTAGCCATTGAGAGGTAAGCTAAAAATAATTACTTCCTTTCAAAAATAAATTAATTCTAAGGCCCTAGCTCTGTGCCATGCCTAAGCCCTGTGCCAAGCAAAACTCAGCTTAAGCATGTGTTTTGCTTTAAGCAAACACTTAAAATGGATTTGCAGAATAAGAATGGATTTCAATTTAAGCACATGCTTAAGTGCTTTGCTGAACCAGGGTCCAAATGCCTCAGTCACTAACCCGTTGTTTACAGTTAGTCTTGGCATCTGTGTTGTAATTTTAAAGATACACAAATGTTAGTGGAAATACTGAGGTAGCTTTGCTCATTTTAGGTGACACTGGCAAACGTTAAGGGCTTTTAGGAAAAATTTTTTTTTTAAACGGTCACATTTATAGAATAAACCAGTAGGCTTTATTGGCAGCAAGCATCTTTCCCAGTTATTTGGTACATTCTAAATGTGTGGCTCATCACATGGCAAGAAATATTTCCTCTCCACCGGTATGCAGTGGAAGGGGAGTTAGACACAAGAAAGGCATTCAAAAGATAGCAAGCATTTAATTGAAACAACCAAGGAGAAGCTTTCATCATGTAGCCATTCTGAATGACATTGGACATGTGACTGATTGGTGCAGCATTATTTATTTTTTTCACTTTGATCATAAAATTACTAGGAAAGGCTTAATGGGGTTATAAATATCTTGTTTCCATGAGAGTCCTGGGAAGATAATTATAGCACTGAAGTCTTTACAAAGATAGAGCATTTATAAAATGATATTATCTGAGGACTCCAATGGATAATGCAGGGAATTCTGCACTCTATTCCCAGCTCTCCTATTGACTCACTGTGCTTTTTAGGCGAATCACTTCATCCCTCAGTGACTCAGTTTCCTCAGCTATACCTTGGGGTAATAATGGTAATTACCCACTGCTGCAAAGTCCATATGGATTAAAAGTTGTAAGTATTGCTCATACTCATTAAAGCCCTCAAGCCTGCTTATTGATAGTATGTCTGTAAGAGTTTGGATAAGCTATGTG